CTCCACCAATGGCCCTTGAAAGAACTTCAGCATCTCCTCGTAGCCTCCCGACTTGAGCAACTCCCTGGTCTTGCGCCGATTGGAGAACAACTTCAGGTTACCCATCTCCATGACCTTGGCAATGCGAGCCCAGAAGTCGAGCACAAGATCTTGAACAGCATGGCGTTCCTGCGTAGCGATGGATTCGAGCGGAAGGCGCTGGCCATCTGAGCGCATCCCAAACTGAGCTGGCGGAGCTTTGATGCGACTGATGCGCTCTTTGTAGAGCTCAAGTGGTGAGGGGCCGCCGACCAGATTCTCATCCCGCTCGAGCTTGGGAAGCATAGAGGTGAGACCCAGTCTACCGCTGGTCTGGGTGACGTATATGATGAGCAAGTCGCGAAGATGGTTCTTCCTCCGGTAATAGGCCTTCACTGTCGCATGCGAGAGGTGCTGATTTGCCTCTTCGAACTCGGTCTCGTTCGTCTCGTCGAAGACACCGATCTCGAAAGCGAGTGTCATGGCATTGCCCAGCAGCATCCAGCACATGCGGTCACTGCGCCAGCACGGCTCTAACCAGCTGTCGATGCGCTTGTCGCCCACGCCTTTGTACATATCAGCCTTTGGTCCTGCCTCGTAGGGGTCGTCGGGTAGAACGAGTTCGTCGTCGTCATCGCCAGGAGGGAAGTGCAGCGCGCGAGGATGCCATTCGGTAAGTAGCATCAGACTCTCGACGGTGCCAAGTGTACGAAGGCCCTTCCGCGACAGAGGGTTCACGTCGGAGCCAGGCTGCTGGCCTGCGCCGCAGAAGCCGCCGCCGAACTGCTCTTGTCCGAAGATCATGCGATCTATCATGCCCTGCAGGTACTTCCATAGCTTCTCGTGGATGAGGTATGACCGAGATGTTGCGCCAACACCACTAGAGCCGCTGGGTTGTGAATACCTCGCCGAGATGGTCAATAGTGTGATGACTAGCATAGGCTCCTCCTTGAGCAGCTTTGCATGAAAGGCATGATCGCGGTAGTCGGGCACGACGATGGGTGTGAGCGGCGATAGGAAGGCGTAGAAGTAGTCGATGTATGCGATGGCCTCCTTTGCCGTGAGCCATCCTGCGCGCACAAAGCGGAACTTTGACCAGGCTCTCACGGCGTCGGCGAAGGCAGCTTCGTTCGGAGGGTCGGGCAGCATGGGCTGCTGTATAGCCGGATCGACCGAGGGCTCAACGGTGGCGCGCGAGTTGGCGCGCGCGTGGGATGTGTTGGGCCGGGGGCTTGCGAAGTTGGTCTGCGAGCCTGGGGTGCTGCCGAGGGTCGGTCGCTGCATGCTCGAGCTGCTTCCGGTGCGGTGGTGGTTGTTCATGCCCGCCGCCTCGAACAGCAGGTTCAGCGCATCGTGGCCGCTGTAGACCTCGCCTGCCTGCAGCGTCGCGACCGTCTCGTTGTTCACCTTCTGGTCCTCTTCCTCGTTGGGCGTTTGCTGGCGGCCGCCCGACGTGTTCGGCCGTCGCAGCGGTTCGTATCGTCCGATGGAGCCGCCTGGGGTCAGAGGCTGCGATATGTACGCCGGGTTGGTCGTCGTGGTGATCAGAGGCTCCGGCAGGCCATCTGAGCGCTGGCGCTTTCGGCCATTGCGCAGCTCGTAGTCGTCGACCTCGTCATAGTCGTCCTCGCCGTCGGCCTTGCGCTTCCGGCGTGTCGCAGAGAAGAAGCACTCCTTACTCTCCCTCCTGCATCGCACGCAGGGCGGGTCGTGTGGGTTGTCTACCGGGCCAAGATCTGGAGATATCAGCAATTGCGCGATAAGCACTCTGCAGCGTCAACGTACCGCATCGCACCTTCCTGCGTCTGCACGGGATGCAGGCCTGGTAGGTGCGCGTGTGCTGGGCATTCTGCGTGCGCGGCGGTGGAGAAGCGTTGGAGCCCGCCGTCGACATGGTGGTGGTGGATTACGGTCGGCTTGCACCGGCTGAGAGCTGGCGGACTTTGGCTCTGATAAGGGCTGGAATACCGCCGAGGCTCCTCAATCCAGCGAGACGGTACCTGCATGCAATATGCAGCGAGTGTGCGCAACGGTAACGCCTACAGGAAGGTCTTCGTGTATGACTCCGCGTAATTCTGCTATTTGTTATCGTCGACTTGAGCTTACGGTACTGAGGCGTCGAAGGACTCGGGAGCGGGTCACGAGCGCGGGGGCTTTGGCTATTACGGAATGGCGTGTCCGCTCCTCCAATCTTGAACACAACACCACGTAACAGTCCATAACTCCCTCGGGTACCTCACGATCCACTGCCGGGTCACGCGTTGAGTGTGGCCGTGCAATCCGCTGCTTACGTCAGGGCGACCGATGCGTCCTGGCTGTACCTGCTGCTCGCGGCATGTGATCTGCTCGTGCACTCTGCGCGTGGCACAGCACCCAATCCGGCCAATGGGCAGTGAGCGGAGACCACGAACGTCATATCCGTCGTCTTTGTCCGTGTCTCGATCTGGCACGGTTGGTGGCTGGGATGTATGTTGTCGCTACTCACGCGTCACGAACAGCCAAAGGTCGCGTCTCGATGACATGCCATAGCTTCTACTAGCGCACAATTGCATAAGCATGTACCCAGGTAGAAAGCATACAGGCCTTTGACAGAAAGCAGGATTATCTTTCAGCTGGAGATATGGATACATGCAACACCAGCACGCTTAGCACCTGTTAAGCCGGAAGACGAGTACCTTCAACATATCCTCCAACACCCTATGGCCACGCAATGTATCCAGACAGCCATCTCGGTCAATGTCAACATGACGCCAATGGTGCATCCTTCCAATGTGCCATCGCTGGCTTCACCCCGGGTTCTCTAGCACCAGAACCCACAGGTCATGTCCGAAAGCTGCAACGCCGTTAGTCATCGTACCATCAAGCAATCCCAGGATGACTTACCCTTGGGTGATCGTTCTGGTGATTCTCATCACAGCCAGTCTCGGCGCGCGTCCACGGGTTCCAAGAGCAAATGCCCATCGCATCCGGGGTGTTCTGAGTCAGAGTGCTCCAGTAGCCACCCTTCGGCTCAAACGCAAAATACATCTGCCTGTCGTCCGGGCTATAGACTACAATCAGACCGCCCATGCCCAACAGCCTCACAGCACCCTTGTCGATACGACCGGTCCCCTCGGGGTACGTGGCGACGGATTTGCGATTGTTGTCTTCGACGCTGTAAAGCATGCCAAGCATCTGGTTGTGCCAGCCTTCAGCGGGCGTGTGAAGACACTGCTGGAAGAGTTGCAGTTTGAAGGAGCAGAATCCTGGGGCGTAGTCCACAGAGGTTGAGTTGGTAGCGGCTGGACTGGGCGGCATTGAAAGGATGTCGGGGAGCGCCTCGGAGCGCGCGCGCTTCACGGTGAAGTCTGACTCGGGCTTTGTGCAGTCGAATTCGCAGGTCAGGGCTTGAGACTTCAAGAATGGTCAGTGGGAGTAAGCAGAAGAGTATCTTGGGTACTAACTCGATGATTGCGGTCACTATCGTTGCAGTCCAGCGGCAGGTTGTCCCACGGCTTAGTGGTGCAGTTGAACTCGCTGTCTCCATTCTGATTAGGCCATTCAGCGTCGCCGTAGATGACTATCTCGCGTCAGTTATTTTGCAATTCCAGTGGCCCGCGATAGTACACACATCCGATGCTGTCCCTCTCATATCCAATCTTCAGTTTCTTCCCAGCAACCACGCCCGTGAGCGTCTCTCCATCGGTCAAGTCAATGAAGTCAGTTTGCTCCATGAATTGGTTGCCAGCGCCATCATAAACGGGTGAGAGATCGACGTAAGTGTTTTCGTGGTCGTCCCAGCAATCCTGAGTGACGACGGCGTCGAAGGAACAGCGACCGGGTGTGAAGTCGGGACTGACACCTTGGGCGACTACAGAGGTAGTCAACAAGAGGAGCACGGAGGCGACAAGGTTAAATATGATGAACATGTTGGTAATAATGGTGCTTCCAAGCCGGCGGGATGAATGAGGAAGGTATCAAGGGTAGGAATAGGCTGGGTTGGAAGGTAAGTGTTGTAACAGGTGATATGACGTGATCGCTGGTCGCAAACGCTCAGATGTTGGGCATTTCAAGTAATGAATGTGTTGTGGTAATTCTGAGAATGAAGGGGTGATTCGGGGTTAAGAGTGCCCAGCTGCACTGCGCTTTCCTGGGACAGGGTAAAGACTGGGCCTTCAGGATCCACGTTCGAACCAAAATTCGTCTCGTTACGGTGCCCGTCCGAGCCGCGATCCTTTGTTTCTGGTGCGAGTCCTCCTGACAGATCCGGCGATCGCGCGTTTGTCATTACGCCAACAAGCCACAGGGCGATGGAATGCTGCCCAAGATGTGAGAGACAACTGTGTCGTGTGGTACATACTCCAATACTTGGCGCTACGTACGTGTAAAAAGTCCAACAATTAAGGCGACGCTCACCATTGTCTGATGCGTAGACAGAAGCTTGTGGTATGAGGTCGCGCCGGATCAGGCTGCCAAGGCTGATGCAATGCTACCCTACTTTGTTCGCGATTGGCAGTTGCAGACAGTACATCCCAAAAGTCAAAGCCCTAAAGATGTCCACATGAAACTACGAGACACATAGCTATGTTGATAGGAGCTCATGTAGTCTCTTACTGCAAGACCCGAGACAAACGCGAACGTGTAATCGCCCATAGACGGCGAACATCCCGAGGTCTCTGGCTGGCAATGACTTGTCACTTCCTCAGTTCCTACCTAAGTACCTAGTCGATATACGTGATCAAGAGATGTAGTGTACTCTCATGTATGTATTATGCGCGTTTCACCCCGCATGTAGCAGCCAATGTTTGAGACTGCATAGTCGAGGTTACACAGCAGCGCAGGCAGTCACTCACATAAGAGGTCAAAGCGCGACGGCTTGCCCCGTTTGCTCATCGACAGATTGCAAGCCTGCCTACTTAAATGATAGCAATCATATTTTACGACATCTTTTAAACCCCGGAACGTATCCAATTCCATTCTCGTACCTTTATAGTCCATTCGACATGTCTTCCGATACACATTCATCCCACGCGGACGAATCGCCGTCGCCGCTCTACGAAAAGCGATCGATCCCGGGAAAGGGAAACGGCCTTGTCGCGTGCGCCGATATACCAGAGGGAACCCGCATTCTGTGTGAGAAGCCGTTGTTCACTCTAGTCTCCGCAGCGAACATGGTCGATAATGCTGTATTGGCGAAAGTGAGATCTCTCGCCAAGGACCAACAACGCCAGTACCTCGGTCTTCACAACAACTATCCCAATAACAACATCTTCTCCGGTATCTTCAAGACCAATGCTTTACCATGTGGACCAGGCTCGCCGATCGGTGGTGTGTATCCAACTATCTGCCTGATCAATCACTCTTGCGACTCCAACTCCCATCATAGCTGGAACGACACGACAAGCAGCGAGACCATACACGCCCTTCGAGACATCAAAGCGGGAGAAGAGATCACAATCTGCTATACAGATCCTGAGACTTACCAGGCGCGACGCGCTGAGCTCAGAGGCTCGTTCGGGTTTGATTGCGACTGCAGTCTTTGCTCGCTTCCACTTGAGAAAAGACAGAAGAGTGATGCTCGCCGCACCCGCATCGCGCAACTCGATGCAGACATCGGTGACCCGAGCCGCGTCATGAACAGCCCAGGTACGTTCCCTTGATCACCCCCATTCGAGTCTATACCTACTGACGCACTGTAGTACGTACAGCAACTAAGGCTAGCCGAAACCTTTGAACCGGCTCGGTGTTAGCTGGAAAGACATTCGCTAACTCATGTGCGTGTCATTTAGGTCAAGGTCTTAGCAGACTGCCGAGAAATGGTACGTGTCCTGAACGAGGAGTTCAAGTGCGTCACCTCTTTACATGCAAGATTGTATTACGATGCGTTCCAGGTCGCCATTACACATGGCGATCAAGCTCGTGCTAGCGTCTTTGCGGGCAGAGGATACGACGCCCGGCTCTTATGCGAGGGGGACGATAACCCGGAGACACGCAAGATGAAGGACTTCCAGAAAAGCCCGAATACACACCGCAACTTTGGAGCATCGAAGCGATGGAGGACTAACAAGACTGCGGTTCCCAAAGGTCGGGACGAGGCGGAGTTCGAGGATTGGCTCTGGCGGTCGTGATCAGGTCAATCCGCGAACTTGAGGGTGTGAGATATCCTTGGACAGGAGCCTATAAGGGTGATTGTATTGGGTATGAGCAAACAGTGGTTTTGAGCGGTGATAGAGCGGCTTGACAGCGTGATGAGATTCTGGTTTGCGCTTAGCTGGTGTAGGAAGCTCACTCACTCACTCACAATGCATTTCTTCTAGACCCTTACCCTTCTCTTACCCTCACTCGCAACACAGTGTGCGCAGTAGCTTCTTTGTCAAAGCGAGATAAGAGCGTACAGATCACAAAAGTTTACTACAGCATCGGCGCTTGCAGGAGATTATAGTTGACTTCTGCAGTCAGTTCGACTACCGCCGCATCCCATACGATGAGTTCCTCACTCTACGACGTTCGAAAGATCCCCGGAAAAGGCAGGGGCCTGGTTGCCCGCTCCGCCATTTCTGAAGGCACTCGTATCCTCTCCGAGAAACCGCTGCTCATGATACCTAACAACATGTCCAACGAGCAACTGGAGGCTCGACTCGCACGAGATCTAAAGGCCCTAGACAAGACTCAGCAGCGACAGTTCTTTTCCCTTCACAACAGCTACACTGGCAAGTATGTCCTCGGCGGTATCTTCAAAACAAACTCCATGGCTTGCGGCAGCGACTTGTCTGCCATTGCAATCTTTCCTACCATCAGCTTCATCAATCACAGCTGTCTTCCAAATAGTCATTACAACTGGAATGACTCCACGGGTATGCAGACAATCCACGTCACTCGCGATCTCAGCGCTGGAGAAGAGATAAGTATCTGCTACACCGACTCTGGAAGTGCCAGTGTTCGCCAAGCTTACTTGAAGAAGCATTTCGGGTTCGACTGTTCGTGCGCAATCTGCTCGCTCTCAGCTACTCATCGGAATGCCAGCGACGCGCGTCGTGAGGAGATCTCTCGGCTTCAGGACACATTTGCTGAAACAGATCGTGCCAGCTTCAAGCCTGAAGAGGCATTTATCGACCTTCGGAAGATAGTCGAACTCTTGAACAAGGTACGTGATCACGCTGAGTGAGACTGCAAGCCCATACTGATGGTTTCCAGGAGTTTAAAGGTGCTGCCAAAGTCCCGGAGGCAGATATCTACTGTTATGCGGTACAGCTTAGTCTCTTTCATAGTGATGAGGCGCGAGCAAGTGTATTCGCTGAGAGGGCGTATAAGGCGTTGCTCATCTGTGTGGGCGAAGATGGGGAGAATGCACAAGAGATGAAGGCCCTGATAGACAACCCAGCCTCTCACGCAGACTTTGGATCGTTGTCGGGCAGATGGAGATCTAACATGTACGATGCTCCAAGAGGTAGAGACTTTGGCAAGAGTCACTTTGAGGATTGGCTTTGGCATCTGTCCGAGAGATTGGAGACGGCGAACCTTAGCGATGATTAGTTCATCAACTGTTGGCAGGGACAGGGCCTCGTAGCCAGTTTGGAGCTGCGCAAACTGTCTCCCAAATTGTGTGTAGCTGCATCTTTGCGGCGAGTACATTCGAATGCCTATGCGAATCAGAGATAGCTTGTAATAGAGGATGCATCATATTTCCGCAACACTGTGATCCTTCTCTGTGCTATAGCGGATGTAGTACATGCGGCGGTGTTGTTGCAGACTTCACAGGTAGTGCGCACTGCATATCGCGACAGTATCTCATACGGAGACGATGAGCGGGTGTGGTGCCTGCTGCTTCCAACGAAGTCGATGATCTGTTGTTCAGGAGTCGAGGACGCGAGAGGTGCGCGGCCTTTCGGGCCGATTTCGGCATAGATCAGCGCGCGAGCTGCACTCCAAGGTGGGCGGCGATGCTTCTGCATCCGCATCCCGCCCCCACCTCTGCACACTAGAGAAGCTCCATGCATGGAGCACCGAAGACCACGCGATGCTCTCTCATGCGATCGTTGTCGCGCGAAGAAGCTAAAGTGCTCGAAAGATGCGCCAATATGCACTTCCTGCGCCCATAGCGGCTCGCACTGCCATTACAGTGGCAAAGTCGCTAGATCACCCTTGACACGGGCATACCTCACGGGTGTAGAGAAGCGACTGCACAGTCTGGAGTCTCTGGTCACGCAGTTGCTACCTGGAGTTGATATTGAGGACTTGTTGTCATCTCCAAATGTGGCTGGCTCTGCACGATCGGTTCTCATTCAGTCTCAGACGCCAGAAGTAGCACCAAGCCCCCAGGGCAGCACCCACTCAAGCACACATGAGCCTGCGTTACCTGAAGCTGTACCCAACAATGTCGATGGCTTCAATTGGCAAGAGGAAGACGTCAATGTCGATGGGCTGACTGATGGCATGGCAGCCCTGTCAGTCGAGCCTACTGGTGTAGGTTATCTGGGTCAGTTGCTTCACTCGAAGAGCAAAACACGTGACTGAAACTATCTAGGCTCGACTTCAGGGGTAGTTTTCCTTCGATGTCTACTCGACTGGGCCGGCTTCCTGCACCAGTCTGTCCCCCGACCTCAGCAGAGTGTGACAACTCCATCTGCTTCCTTTCGAAATGTATTGGCATCATCGCACATCTCGCATGCAGCTCTCACAACACAGCTTTCATCGAGCTTGATCGATGCCTACTTTGCCAACTACCACGTGGTCTATCCATTTGTTCACGAAGCAACATTCCGGGCGCAGTACCATGAAGTCGTCCCGCGGCCCTCAAAAAAGTCGTGGAACATGCTTTCTCATGCGATCATAGCACTTGGCGCGTGGTCGTTGAATAACGATCAAATTGGGCTGGAAGACTATCTATACCGCCGGGCCTTGACCTTGGGTCAGGAAGAGTCTGTGTTTGAGGCTGCCAGCCTGACTTCTGTACAAGCGCTCATACTTCTGAGCAACCTTAGTCAGAAGCGCAATAGCCCAAATACAGGATGGAATCTGTTGGGCCTCGGCGTTCGCACAGCGCTCAGTCTAGCCCTTCACAGAGAACTTCCTCACTGGAACATCACCCTGATAGAGCGCGAGACGAGACGTAGAGTATGGTGGGGTCTCTACATCTTCGACAGTGGAGCTTCGACGACATTCGGTCGCGCGATCATGTTGCCTGACCAAGAGACTATGGATGTCCATCCTGTGCTGAACATCCACGACGAGGTATGACCGTCCAGCGAAGTTTTTGTAGCCGTCGCGAAACTGACCCATGCTAGTCACTTACTCCACAAACCACGACGCTGCCCACTGAGGTTGACGAACCGACTATATACTCCTCTCTCAGAGTGCAGAGTAGTTTCCACCTACAGACGAACCATATCTCAAACAAACTACTAGCCGAACCCGGGCTCTCTGCAGAGGCCGCTCTCGCCTTGAACGCTTCCATGGATGCGTGGACACATACAGTTCCGACATATTTCCAGCTTTCGCATGCGCCCAGATCTACGGCTCCGTGGTATTCATTCGCTCGCTCTCGGCTGTGGTGGAGGTTCTGGAATCTCAAGATCATCATATTCCGACAGATCTTGTTGCGCCGAGCCATCTCCGAGCGAGGTCAGATCCCAGACCTAGCCATGCAGTCAAGCCAAGAGGACTGTAAGCGAATATGTCTTGAAGCTGCGCATTCTACAGTAGTTTCGATACATCAGTATGCAACACAGGACTTGAATAGACTTGAGGGCTGGTACGCGACGTAAGTACTTGAATTGGACCCGAAATGAACACATATGCTAATGCAGTTACAGGTACTTCCTTTTCCACGCGGCACTAGTAATAACCCTTTGCATCATCAGCTTCCCCCGCGCTGATGAGACTGCAATCTGGTACGACGATGTTCGCTTGGCCCGAACCACCTTCCGTGAACGGCTTGTTGGGGATTCGCTGTCAGCCCGCTGCGTGGCCATCCTTGACCAAGTGGTGTCTGACGGCGAGTTGGACTCCGGTACACTGCAGGATCTGGAGCTGGACAAAGACGCCTTGAGTACGTTTCCATGGTCCGTTGAGTCCAATGAGTTATTCAATTCCTTCGATTGGGATTTCACTACGTCCGGGTTCTGACCTCAGGCGCGATCTTAATGGCACGATTCCTCAATTCTCGATGATGACATCCGGCTTTACCATCATGGATCGTATCAGTTCGCCGTTTGGAATGTCATTCTCCTCTGCTCGTGCGATTGCAGCTGACATCGACGTCTCGATGCCAGCAGCAAGGTGACGTTGTGCTAACCTATCACGAACTGTATCCACAGGCGCGTCGACAAACCATCTACAGAGTGTCAGTACCAATCCGCCAGGCGATAGATATGACCATGACCAACCTTTCATCACACATCTCTGCAATCTGATCCCATGGGTCTTGCTTCAAAAGTGTGTAGTTGCCCTCAACAATAACAAGTCGAGTACGAGAAGAGATCTTGATAGCGTCTTGCACGGGGTCCTTGACAGCATGGTCGAAGCCGGGTGCAGGAATACAGATGTCGGCTTCGCCATCCTTGGTGACGGGAGCTTCTTTGAGTGTCTTGACAAGCGTCACACACGCCTTCGCATCAAATGTAAACGGCGCTCCACGCCTTTTGAACGCCACTTCGGCATCATCGAAAGTCGACAGGATTTCCCGAGTGTAGTGGAAGCCGTCCTAGTGCTCGTCAGAGATGTAGCATCGCGGGTTGCGGTTGGCTCCTACCATCGGTACAACAGCAACATCTTTGATCCCTCGCGCAGCAAGCTCAGAGACGAGCGCATCAGACACCGTTGACTTTCCCGCGCCTGGCACGCCTGCAAGAGCAACAAGCATGCGATGACCGGGATTGGTCGCTTGGCGAGACAGAAGGTTTTCCGTGCGCTTGGCCACATCGAGTATGGCTGCACGCAAGGCGTCCACCTTTGATTCGGCTGGCATCATCGGCGACTCTGGAATAGCAGACACGAAATTCTTAATGAGATGAGAAACTGTATGAGATGTTCGCGTGAAACGACTGGCATGAGGTGAGCAGTGTTACAGTACTGTATGCGACGATCTATGATCTAAAGATCACGTTGGCGTTGTGGAGTTCGTCGGGCGACAGCTGTCCGAGCATAAGTCATGTTGGAGCCCCAATTCCCACGACTGAATCAGGCAACTTTACCATGCGGGGATCCCGCATCGCACTTACGACTACCGGCGTAGACGCATGGAGAATCGTGGAGTCGGACGACAGTGCTCCGAAGGTGTTGGACCCCAGCTACGATCGTGAAGTTCTCACGCGATCGGCAAAGGTATATAAGCACGCGACACTACCACCACTAGGCTACCTACTCATAGCTGCATCCAACCATCGGAGCCGACATTGGCATATCCACAAAGAAGAAGACCAGCATGTCTTCAATCCAGGATGTTACTGCCCCTGGGGCTGCGCCAAAGATTGGTGTCTACAAGGAGCTGAGACAAAACCCTTACCTCCTTGGCCTGTCCGCTGTAAGTTGGTATCGAGCCTCACTTACCTCAGTTTTAGCTAAGATGCATAGTTCGCCTCGTTGGGCGGTTTCCTCTTCGGTTATGATCAAGGTGTCGTCTCTGGGGTGCTGACGATGGAGTCTTTCGCGGCATCCTTCCCGAGAATCTCTACAGACAGCTCCTTCAAGGGCTGGTTTGTCTCGACATTGCTACTCGCTGCTTGGTTCGGTTCTCTCGTCAACGGACCAGTAGCCGATCGCTTCGGTCGCAAAGGATCTATCATCATAGCTGTCGTCATCTTCACTTTCGGTTCCGCGCTTCAAGCTGGCGCGATGAACATTCCGATGGCTTTTGCAGGTACGGAACCTTCAGCGTGGTGTGATTGCAATCTAGACTGACAATACACGCAGGCCGCGCAATCGCTGGTTTCGCCGTTGGTATGTTAACAATGATTGTACCAATGTACATGAGTGAGGTCTCGACTGCCGGCATCAGAGGCACTCTAGTCGTTCTCCAACAGCTTTCCATCACACTCGGTATCCTTGTCTCCTACTGGCTCGAATTCGGAACCCAGTACATTGGAGGCGTTCGTTGCGCGCCCGACATCCCGTATACTGGTGGCACTGCGGCAGAGCCTACCTTCGACCCACGGAACGATGTTGGCCCGAACGGCTGCACCGGTCAGAGCGATGCTGCCTGGCGTGTTCCTTTCGCGCTCCAGATCTTCCCCGGTCTTGTTCTCGGTATTGGAATGCTCTTCTTCCCCGAATCACCTCGCTACTACTGTATGCGCGACAACGAAGAGGCTGGTGTGAGAGCGCTTGCCCGAGTACGTCGCACCTCCCCAGATGATGAGTCCCTACAGAAGGAGTATCTCTCCATCAAAGCCGAAGTCATGTTTGAGGAGCAATACAACCGCGAGAAGTTCCCTGGCAAATCTGGAGTTTCGCTGTACCTCTCCGGATACTCAACGCTCTTTTCGACCTGGCCATCTTTCAAGCGTACTGCTATCGGTTGCTGTGTTATGTTCTTCCAACAGTTCATCGGATGTAATGCGATCATCTACTACGCGCCGACAATCTTTGGACAGCTGGGTCTTAGCGGCAAGACGACCGGCCTGCTAGCAACGGGTGTATATGGAATTGGTATGCAATCATGATTCACCAGCAGAAGTACCGCGACTTTATAACTAACCTGATATCCTAGTCAACACACTATCTACTCTTCCTGCGCTCTTCCTCATCGATAAGATCGGTCGCCGCCCTCTCCTCCTCTGCGGTGCCGCTGGTACTTGCATATCCCTTTTGATCGTCGGTGGTGTCATTGGCGGTTACGGATCTACTCTCAAAGACCACCCCGCAGCTGGCTGGACGGGCATCGCATTCATCTACATCTACGACGTCAACTTCTCGTACTCTTGGGCACCGATCGGTTGGGTCCTACCCTCGGAGATTTACAACATTGGTAACCGCTCAAAGGCCATGTCTCTGACTACCTCATCGACATGGATGTGCAATTTCATCATTGGTCTCGTCACGCCCGATATGCTAGAAACCATCGGATTCGGCACATACATCTTCTTTGCTGCTTTCGCTTTGATCGCGTTTGTATTCACGTGGTTCTTGATTCCTGAGACCAGGGGCAAGAGCTTGGAAGAGATGGACGCTGTGTTCGGTGACAGCACTGCGCACGAGGAGAAGACGAGGCTGTACAACATTGCGCAGAGTTTGGGAATAGAAGAGGCTGAGGCTGCGGCATTCGATGAGAAGCCCATGAAGGCGCTGCAGACTGAGGTGACGAACGTATGAGAATGTTTTACATATATGGCGGCAGTACATCAGATATCCGTTTATCCTCACAAATGCTGTAGGCAATTATGACAAATCTTCTTGTTCAAGGCAGAAGCTAAATAAACACCGTGAAGCCCACATTAACGCTAGGTCTTCTGGTTTGCTCAATGTTGTCCTAATGTCGGCTGCAGGCCTTTTCAGTTTCTTCTTTATTGTTCCGCTCT